AAAAAAAAAAAAAAAAAGGAACTGAGACTTTACATGTAAAAATCAGATTTCTAGCTCTTCTTAAAAAGTAGGAATGGCATCCCCAGGCATTCCTATAGGGCGCCAATCTGCTGGGTAAGGCTGCCCCCTGGAGGCCAGCCAGGCACACTGCAGCTGCCGGCAAGCCCCATTGGGCCTCCTTTGCTCCAGGATGCCATGCACTTGGCCACATAGGAACTTGAGTTTTACACTCTGAAAATGGCCACAGGTCTAAGCCAATCTTTTCCTTTCCTCCCTGCCTCCTAATCCCTCCCAGCTTTCCACATCTAGGACTTCTGGAAACCATCTCAAACCTCACCCAGCTCCTACCCTGGCCTCTTCTTCAGTTGTTCTGATTCATAACATGAATGAAAGGCTGAGTCCAACTGAAGACGTACTTGGGTGGCTCAGCTGATTAGGAGACTGACTCTTGATTTCAGTTCAGGTCACAATCTCACAGTTCATGGGTTCAAGCCCCGTGTCGGGCTCTGTACTGACAACATGGAGCCTGCTTGGGATTCTCAGTCTCTCTCTCTCTGCCCCTCTCCTGATCACGCTCTCTCTCAAAAATAAGTAAACATTAAAAAAGAAAGAAAGAGGGCCGCCTGGGTGGCTCATTCGGTTGAGCATCCGACTTCGGCTTGGGTCATGATCTCGCGGTCTGTGGGTTCAAGCCCCGCGTTGGGCTCTGTGCTGACAGCTCAGAGCCTGGAGCCCACTTGGGATTCTGTGTTTTCCTCTCTCTCTGCCCCTCCCCCGCTCATGCTGTCTCTCTCTGTCAAAAATAAATAAACATTAAAAAAAAAATTAAAAAAAAAAAAAGAATGAGAGAGAGAGAGAAAGGCTTAGTCTGACTTGAACCAGAAGTCAAAAAGCCCAGAGTGTTATGACCAGGAGCAAGTGAGCCACTCCCTTTGCCGGACTGCCTCTAGTGCCCAGTTTGAGAATTTTCTCCTCACTGCAAAGGAAACGCCAGAGGTAGCAAGGCCTTTGAGCGCAGGCCTACATCTAGTGAGCCCAACACCATCCATGTGATACCAATATAAGGTGAGCCTGAGCCAGAACAAACGCTTCAACCCTCAAGGAGACACAGGGGCTTGTGGAGAGCACGGCGAGGCAGTCATCACCGGGTGGGAAGGTGGCCTTACCTTTCTGGGAGATGTTCCACCCACTTTAGGTGCCCACTGGAGAGATGATGCAGGGCAAGAGTGGTCTTCTTCAGGACCGCGATGTACCTCACTGATGCCTGCAGGCCTACCAGCCCAAGCGCCTGGAAACTGAGCACAGGTACAGGGGTGAGCACGGCCTGGCACCTCCGGGGCCTCGGGCTAGAGGAGACGATCTGGAACACTACCAATGCAGCTTGGTAGGTGAGAAAACAAGCCTTGGAGCCAAACGCATCAGAATCCTAATACTGGCACTGCCTGTGCTTGGCTGACTTGAGGGGCTGCATTTCCAACCACTCGGCTGTTCTGCTCCCCTGAGACCCCAGGAACCTCCTAAGGGTTGCTCCCCCCACCCCGCCCCCAGGACTGCACAGCAAGCAGGTGATCCCTCTACCGTGGCAACCTTCACACCATACTGCCACTGAAGGCTACGTGCTTGCCTCCCCCAGCTGACAGTGTGTTTCTTGATCTCACATTCACACGTGTGTTCCCACTGTCTGGAGGGCTTGCCAAGTGTTTGCCAAATACATTACTATCAGAAGAGGTATAGGCTACTGCAAATGACCCTGTAACGGAAACAACCCCAGCAAAGGTGTAACAGTAGCCCAAGCTGCTCTCACAACGTAAAATTAAAACACTGGCAGGTTTACATGACATTCCTATACCTAGGACATTACAGAGTTCTCAAGTCACGGTAAGATGAGGACCACCATTCGAGGGCAAAGATACACTCTGCACCTAGCACAGAAATCTGAGCCTACGGGGGTTCAATAAACACTGGCAGAGTAACCACATGTTCCATGACCTCAACTCATCAAGACACTGGGTGTTTGATGTTCTTTGGCTCTTCGGTGGTCCGTGAGGAAAAAAGCCAAAAGACCCGGAATTGCTGTCCATGCAGACCTGTGTTCCAGCAAAGCCTCACGCCAAGCCTAGGTGAAATACAGCTTCTTTGCCCTCTACCTGCCACTGTCCAAGGTAATCTCCCAATTCAGGCCCCCAATGTTAGTCTCCCAGGAACGCATGATCCGGCCTCCATTGGACACAGTGATTGCATCTGGAAGAGAAAAGACCACGGTGAAGTCATCTCCCCAACTGGCCCTCTGTAGCCTCCTCCGACACTCTGTGCGCGATGGCCGCACCTCTGATATATGGACGCAAATGGAAGTTACTTGCAATACCTGTCCTTTCCTTTTGAAAACACCCCTTCTCCTTTCTTAGCCAACCCTGCACAAAGGAAGGAACCAAGGAATGGGGAGATGGGGCCAACACCACGAGAGAGACAAAGCAGGACTCTGCTTACCCTGTCCACAGAGCAGCATGGCGTCCACAGCCCCTTCTGCTGTGCCCTTGTCAACATGGCGCCACACTGAGAAATATGAGAGTCAGACATTACCATAAACTATAAAAGAGAGGCATCCAAGGAGACAGGTAGGAGAGAACTGAAGAGCTCTTTGCGTAGCAGTATCCAATTTTTTTTCAAAGGAGAGAAGGATTACAGCTAACTGGCAATGGTCTCCTCCCACTCACTAGGTAAGGAGGGGAGGAAGGGTTGAGAGGAGCGACTCTTATCCCAGTCTGAAGTCTCTTCACTTCCCATACCCCCTGCCACCCGAAACATACGATTGACAAGACAAAATCTCTGTGATCCACAAGAAAAGTAGTGATCGTAAATTACATGTCCACAATCTTAGTGCCTAAAAACATCCATGAAAGCAGCATAAGGAATTGGAGTGGCACCCAAACCTTTACTGCAGAATAAAAGAACGGGTTTTTTGAAGCAGTATCTTAAGAACTCGCAGGAGTTCTCTTACTCGCAGTAAGAGATGCATCTTTTGGCCAACGTGTCCCTAACTTGAGTTGCAGCCAGGAAGACTACCTAAGCCATAGTCCATTCTGGATTCACTATGGTCAGCCATCCCATCCCAAGCTAATGGCCTACACAGGTCACTCACAGATCTCCCCTGTCCGAGAATTTAATGCTGCAATCACATTCTTTTCTGTGGCCACAACCAACTTCTTGGATCCAGGGGAAAATTCCAAGGAGGCAAACTTGAGCTTCCCAACATACTGCTGTCTCCTGAGGAAGAGAGTACAGGGCAGTGAGAGGGGTCAAAATCATCACTGTACAAAATATTTTGGGAAAAGACAACTGTGCCAATACGTGAGGTTGTCACCATCTTAGGTCCTTATCTTAGGACACAGGAGAAATGTCTGTTAAGGAGATCCGACCAAAAGCAAGATTTCTATGCAGTGTAGTCAGAAGCAAACAGAACAAGGAGAAAGAATACACCCTGGTAGATAAGAAGTGCCAGTCTTCCTTTTAAGTTCACACATTTGTCTCAAGTGACACATCTGACCAAAACCCCCCTGGAATAAACATTAGTCCTCTCGGTCTTCGTTAATAGAGGGACTAGATGCTCCTATTACACACAAGGAAACAGACACAAAGTCTGTTGTTCATAAGCACACAATCCAACTTGCCCTTCTATTTTCACTGAGCTCTGGAGGAAAAAAAAAAAAAATCATGCAGATTCTCCAACCAAACTCCATAGATGGGGTCAGGCTTCTGTTCTCTACAGCCTTTTCGAGCCCACTCCATGCTTGGGATCCATTTGACTCATTACTCAGACTTCCCTTGGAATAGATCCCATAACTTTGAACACCGTTCTCTAGCATAAAGGGAATATAATTAACTCTGCATGGCTCACTACCAAGTACACAGGAGGTGCCCACACGTGGCTGTTAGGCAAGAAATACTCTCATCTCTGGCAAACTAAACACACATGGCATTTACACTAAATTTCTCTGGTGGTGTGGTTTGGTCTGGTTGTTTTTTGTTGTCGTTGTTGTTTCGTCTTCTTTTTTAAAGAAACTGAGCAGATAGACAGACCTATGTGCCATTTGACAGTTTCTACTGGTATTTTCACATACCTAATTCTTGCTATATCTATTAAATGCTCTATGAAGTACATAGGATAAACGTTACTAGTTTGATTTTACAAGTAATAAATGACTACTCTCATTTTACACATAAGTATATTAATGTCTATTGAGGTCAACTAGTTACTGTCAGATCTAGAACACAAAACTAAGAATTTCTGATTCTAATACCCAAGCTCTCTTTTAAAATATTGCTATCTTGGGGCGCCTGGGTGGCGCAGTCGGTTAAGCGTCCGACTTCAGCCAGGTCACGATCTCGCGGTCCGTGAGTTCGAGCCCCGCGTCGGGCTCTGGGCTGATGGCTCAGAACCTGGAGCCTGTTTCCGATTCTGTGTCTCCCTCTCTCTCTCTGCCCCTCCCCCGTTCATGCTCTGTCTCTCTCTGTCCCAAAAATAAATAAAACGTTGAAAAAAAAAAATTTTTAAATATTGCTAT